TTTCCTCTAGTATTCTACGGTTCCTTATACTCTTTGTTGAATGATTATTACGATGTGTTGACGAAGGCCCACCAAGCGTCTCGGCCCGGGATAGGAGAGTTCGTCACGATGCTGACTTCGTTTTCGGGACCATCTATTGCGTCACACCGCAATGGCCCTTACCAAGGGAATAGGATGTCGCTTACTCGGAATGAGGTATGTGGTGAGAGGAAATACGCCACCCCAGTCGGCACCAACATTTTTGTTAGGAAAGACAATTGCGAATGACGAAGTCCGAAGAAGACGTGCCGTAGAACGGCTGGTCAGCTGCATTCAGTTCATTGCCCTGAACCTGTTGATGAACAAATCAGCTGCTGTCCGTTTACTGCGGTGAGCTTTCGAGCGGGATTCACGGACGTGGCTAGTTAAACCATAATAACTGACTCATACACCTGCGACGTTCAACTATCTGTGGACACTGCTGTTCTGCTGTTAAGGCCACATCAGGACTATGCACAGAACTATCGACGATATAAAGTCCATTGGCGTGCAGAGCAAGGGAAGTCGGATGTGGAGAATTGAATCAAACTATTTGAGCAGTGCGCGTATATACGCTTTATTGGCAAGTGTGTCTTTGGTGCCAAAAGATAACCTTTATGAGTTGTATCATTGGCAGCAAGACTTGCGGGCGGATCCCACAGCGGTGAAGACCATTGCAGCTTTGGCCCGCAAATACGAACTTCATATAAGCTTGGTCAGAGCCTCTGACCAAAAAGTACTTGAGGAAGTGGCTTAGCCTGGTCAAGTACTTGTACAAACTCAGTGCAAATTATGCCTGTTGGCTTTAGGTGACTTAAACACTAGATGGCATTATGCAGAGTAAATATTTTAAACAGGTCCGTAGTTCACAGCAACTTGCAACCTCTAAGCCGATGATTTATCTCAAATAATCACAAAATTATATCATCCCGAAGTCGATCATGATGCAACGATTCCCATCCCAACTTGGATCTTGCCCATCTTGTATTTGCTCTTTTAAGCAGTCATCAACTGAATGCAGATACCGGTACTTATCGACATGTGATCGCTGAGCGAGGCGCTGTATAAGTCGTATCTTAAAATGACTTAGCTGCTCGAAATGTTTATTGGCAACAAAGCCGACATTTTGAGTTCCCTCATCAATCTTTAGAGTAGGATGTTTCAATGGTGTTGAGATGAGGTCGAAAAAGTGGCCATTCAGGCTGGATAAGGACTACTTATGCGTGTCCCGATTCTAGCTCTTTCAAATCCAGATCGACCATTTTGTGTTGCCTGTGACGTTTACTCTTTGCTATAGACTGTGCATTTCTCGGAGCAGATTTCGATGAACATGACCCCGCGATCGCGTTTGAGATCGCCAGCGTTATGCAGTAAGGAGATCTACTCTGTTCAGGACTAGGAGCTACTTGCAATGAAGTATGTCCTTGTCAAGTTCAGGGTGCATCTGCTTGACTCCAATCCGTTTGTGATCAATACATATCACGCTCCTTTGCGCGCCGCGATGTCATCACCACATCTCTCACGGAGAATGACAAGCTGTAGATCCTGCTCTGCCAAGTATACTTCTGCGGTTGTACACCTGTACCGCCATGGAACAGCCTTGGCCTATTCGACACTCAACATATAGTTCTTCTTATGATGAGGATCGCGAGTACAGAATAATGCATGGGGCAAATGATAAGACTCTTGAGAAAAAGTAGACATTAGGCTAAGTGAGCGCTATGTGTCAAGTACCCAACATGTAAATTCGAGTAAAACCGTATGTGCACACACGTGGAATGTGACAATCGGTTGATTTTTACCACAGTTGTATGCAAATTTTGCCATTCTGTTGGTTTCTGCAGAGTGTTGGTAGTCCATAAGTATGGACTAATTCTGGCCCTTCAAAGGCCGCCTTCAAAATTTTTTGACATTCTGGTCTTTGTGGACCTCTCAAGCAATACAGTCCATCTAGCTGCTGCCAGCGATGGTGTAATCGGCGATGATACAACCTAGTTGTTCCTCGACAGAGTGCCTCGCCAACATGACTAGCCGGTAGCCATCGTATTGAATGAAAATGCACGTTACAACGAAGTTCTGGAAAACATCGTTCAAGGTGCTCGGCATCAGATGGGACATGTCAACCGCAAACGATCGGCAAACGGATGGCCAGACGCTAAAGGGTATATTTCAAAGCTATTAGGCGGAAAGATTGCGATACAGAAGCGAATATTTTTCTCTCACTTAAACTGCGGTGAATATCGCAGCATATGCTTCTAAAAGCTGTACCTCATACTTCATAAGTGGTTTGCTGAGCTCCGAGTTCCTTTTACCCCGCCAGACAGCGACTCCGTCTTATGGGGGGAAGGGATATCGGCTCATTTTGGTTTGCTGACATCAGCTCCGCTTAAATTTGTGAGTAATCACAATGAGGTTGACCGTCATGCGAAAAGGCACGACGTTATGGCTGACAGCTAAGATAAACAAAAGCAGCTTGCCTGTACCGAAGGCAGGTTTTGCACACACAATATTCTGTGGAGCAAAACGTTCCATAAAATGCTATTACTTCTAGACATATGCAATTCCTGCGGTTTATACGACTAAGATGCGACCCTGCTACATTGAACTGTAGCGAAGAAGGGATTGCGTGGTATTGTTGACATCCCACAGGGAATTCGACCACATCCTGTATATTATGTAGCCTTACTGAAGATATACCGCAATCTGCTCCTTCAAACATGTTGATAAACTCTGTCACAAACGGAGCAGCGTCTTCTCCATCTCTTGTAACTAATTTACCCTATCTAGCAGATTCGCGATTTTGAGCTTCTTGAGGTGCCTCATTTCAGGCAGTGCAATGGCAAAGCTCGGCAAGCAAATTTGAGATCTGGAACTTCCCAGCTTCGAGGGCACGCCGATACAATCGGGAGGAGTCAACGTGCCGGCCTAATAGAAAGAGCTCACGAGAGCTAGTCGCAGGGAGGTCGATCTGCGCCGGCTCTGTTAAATGAGCAAGGAGCGCTTTACTTCGAGGTAGAACGATTAGTGACACCAGGGCTATTATCAGAAAAAGACACCCCTTGTCTATATAATCGTAGTTTTGAGGGTTTACTATGGCCAGATTGTCATGTAGCCGTGGCCACTTACAACTTGCTGTACTCTTGGCCTTATAGTCTTTTGGAGTAGAGACGGGGGTGCCCGTCGCAGCGCGCTTCCTTTAAGAGGGTGGCGACCGGCCTTGCGGTGAAAGCACGAGCGATTACAGCTGACCCACGATGACAAACGGGGCTGTAAATAGAAGGAATAAGAGGTAATCGGTTTCAACTTCCCGCCACTAAATTAGGGCACGGCGTTCAATCTCGTGCAGCGGAGAGGCTGAGCACAGTGAAAAACTTCATCTTGAAAGCAGCTAGACCGTGTGCTGCCGGGTGCAAGCGGAAGTGTTGGGTGAAGATCGGATTGTCACTGCGACAATTTTCGTCGGGGAAGTCCCATCGGAAATCCTCGAGCGCGTCGCGCCTTCTGTAGGGGATCGTCGATTCATTTGCTTTGGAGTACGGAGAACGACCATCATGATTTTTTTATTATTAAGTGCAGAGAATTTAGTTGGACTACAGGCACAGTTACTCGTGGAGCGCGGAAAATGACTATATAAGTGTGAGCTCCACATCTTAGTGGAGGGCACGTACTCTAATCTTGTGTGCTTACACCTCAATATTCGGTACAATTGTAGTAGATACAATACTGTGCAATTGTTCGAAATTCACATTGTTATTGGGAATATTTATAAGAACCGACGAATCGACTTACATGACATTAAAAAGGCTTGAAAAAAGAGGTTGCTATCAGCACTTTCATCCTTAAAAAGATAGTGGCAATCGCATAATTTATATTTATCTAAATTACATTTATTTTAAATAAGAGGAATACCTACAGGGTAAAGTTGGAGTACCAGCATAAAAAAGTAACTTGGAGTTGATAGCTTCTTTCTCCCTCCAATAGAAATAAAACCCAATTTTGTAGATGCGAAAAATGGGTCAAGAGAATTTTTAACAGTGAGGTGATCAAAAAGTTCATTCCACAGATCAAAAGGTTCATTCCACAGATCAAAAAGTTCATTCCATAGCAACACAAAGGTCTGTCAACGATGTGATCATCAACTGCTGCACCACTGATTACACGTGCTTTTTTGCCACTGAACCCATGGGGGATATGAAGCTGGCAAGTTTATCCATTTGACACATACAAACTTTAACTTTCACACTGCCTTAACTCTCACCGCCTTGTCAGCGACATAAACATCTTCTCGTCACCACGAATCCTAAATGGCAAAAGCATCCTCCAGCTCCAGACGACACACATCGTTTCGGCCTTAAGAACATTGGTATATTTTTATCTCCTTAAAGTGAAGAGGAAACAAATGAAGAATTTGTTGCTTGAGTCTATGCAAAAAGCGCAGCTTTATAAAGTTGTGATCTCAAACTAACAGTTTCAGAGAATCATGCGGGGGAGGAAGCCATCTTAAGATGACTCACATCGAGCTTATTATCGATATCTGAATGCACCTGATTTTCCTCACATGTGTTCACTTTTTGCACTCTAATGCTGCTTTAAATTCGTGATCAAATCCAGAAATTAAACGGCGTAAGAACAATTTGAAGCAAATTTTGAAGTGATAACTCCAGAACTTGGCAGTACAATTAGTATAACATTGTCAAGTCACCAAAACACCGCAGTTGTGAATGCTTTTTATTCAAATGCAGGATAACACGTCGTCAAGCTAAAAATTCGACTGTGCACATGACTCTACTTAAACATCTTTTTCATCTTTTTCCCCATCTTCTTGAAGCCTTTATGCTTAAAGCCTTTATGCTTAAAGCCTTTGTGTTTGTGACCTTTGTATTTGTGCCCATGCTTAAACTTTCCATGCTTGTGCTTTCCGTGCTTCATCATAGCACCTGCCATCACAATCCCGGGCTGTGCCACGTAGGCAGGTTGAGCGTATGCGTAACCGGGTTGCGGTGCATGGTGACCATATGCGGGGTAACCAGGCTGTGGTGCATGGTGACCCGGTGCAGCGTAACCGGGCTGTGGTGGGTACTGTTGCGGCGGCGGGTAACCTTGCTGTGGTGGATAACCTTGCTGTGGTGGATAACCTTGCTGTGGAGGATAACCTTGCTGTGGTGGGTAACCTTGTTGTGGTGGGTAACCTTGTTGTGGTGGATAACCTTGCTGAGGCGGGTAACCTTGCTGAGGTGGATATCCCGGTTGCTGCTGATATCCGTGCGGCGGTTGTCCTCCTCCAGGGTGCATTTCTAAGACGTGAATGCTTGCGTGGAAGATCTCGAGTGAACGAAATGTTGTACGTACGTCAAAAAGACGGCTGATTTACCGATTATGTGTAGCAATTCTGAAACCTCTTCTACAAAATGGAATTAGAATATGGCAGCATATTTAGGCACAAAAGAACCATTTCTTGGACTTATTTTGAGACATAATTCTCAAAACGTCCGTTAAGTAAAAAACACGACGGAAATAGCCACGTAAAATAATCGGAAGATCGCAATTCATTTTGTCGAATTATCAACGCTATGCTACTTGATAAGCTTCAGTATCATTAATATCAACGCGTACATGGCTATCAGATAGAGTGGTCCATAGCAGATCGCTGTTTCGCACAACAACTCAAGAAAAGCAGCACTAAACCATCCGCCCTCAGTTTTACTGAAGGCTCGCCAGCACGAGTCAGTATGTGATGACTCACAGATTCAAATAGGGTTTAATAACTACCAACTAAGTTCGTGAAGAGAAATAACACAACAGTAAGACATCGTGGCACGAAACTTGATCAATTCTAATCCTCTGGCTCCCATTCCATGGCATGGACAAGTACAAATCAAGTGCGATCAACCTCAAGATCAATTTCAATTGCAACCCATTCCAAGTTCTACCCGATCCAATTCTGATCCTGATTCGAGGTCGAATTTGATTCTAATCAACCACCGATTTATGTGCGATCACCGTTGCTCCAGAATTACTAATTCGCGCTGAACCTTTTACCAAGGCTGATAAAAAGCAAACTTACATTCACTATCTTGTACGGTCTCAGCACTATCTTGAATGTGAAAGCATGATCAGGAAAGAAGTGATCCCATTGAGAATAGCTATAGTACAACAGCCAGATCGACCCCGATTCAACGAGGCCTCTGGGATACTTTGCCACAACCAACTCCCATATAGCAAGATCAAACATGCCTCATTCAGCATTTAGCCGAAATACCACAAGCTGCCGCTGAAGAAGATGAGCACACCAGATGTTTCCACGAATAACATCGCTATGTAGACTTTGCAATTCCCTCGAAGGCAACATGGTTATCGATAGCAAAGAGTTTCTTGCAATCCAGACTCTTGGCTATGGTCAGAATTGATATCTAAAGAAAAATAGCTTGACTTTTTACAATATGTCGGTAAATCTATGATTGATTCAATCAAAATGGATGGCGGTTGTTTCTTGGCAACATTGGTCGCGTTGTTATATGTTTAAAGTTAAACCATGTGACTTTACTTTCATCGAGAATCTTCCCAGTCACTAAAGTAAAACACTCAGTTCGCCAAGTCGAAAATTTTGCGAAGACATTTATGCCCTTTTACATAAAGTCATAACCATACTTCGAGGCGGTGCCTGGACCATGAATTGTGTTGAAAAAAACAAGTGTCAAATGTGCACCACCTCGTCACCAAACTGCTAAGTTGGCTTTTTTGTCATTCAATGCAACGACTGCGCTCGTACTGATTCATAAAGAGGTTCTTGAATTGTATCTTTACTGACTGCATTAGAACTTGTTCTCTAATTGAGAAGACATCACCTTCATAAGGATATTTCAAAGCTACAATGACGTGTCAGACAACATTAATGTAACACATTGTTCTAATCTACTATTATAAGCCTTGGGATTTCGGTGTGGACTCTCCCTACATGTGAAAGGAGGCCCGTAACTCCATAGGATATCGAGAACAAACTCACCACATTCCATTGATTTTGATTGGTTCTGATTCCACTTGACATTGTGGCACAAATTCGCTTCAACTAGAACTGAGTCGCCTTTGCGCTGTCAACACAACTCATTTGAGTACCCGAATCATGGGCCAAAAACGAGTTTCAAGTAACTTCAAGTGTGTCATCTGGATACTAAAGATCCCAGCTTTCATGCTGCGTATCACCATCAACAGCCTCAACCTGAGTTTACTCGATGCAAGATATCAAATCGGAATTGTGAGATTCACAATATACCTTCCACAATATTTGACGGACTGTGAGTTTGAATCGGCCCAGTTTTAAAAACCAAAACCAAACACAAACCAAAACCATTTGAAGATTACCACGCGATGATATTGACCTTACTTAGATTCGGTTCTGTTGTCGTTAAGTATGCTAGGATGGTGACATTACCAACTCTGTCATTTGCTGAAAACCGCAGTAATTGATAAGTATGTAGATGTACGAAAGCTAGATCAGACGGATGTTGCGGCTATACAGCAATTTAGTGGCGACCCTATCGATTCAACTCATGGGGCATATACCTCACCTAAAGTTCAATCAAAGTACGCTTTAATTTGATGTAAGGTATTTGCGCACTTTCAAAAGCGAAGGCCAGATGAGTATGGAATCGTGAGAATTTATCGCGGTCAAGCTCTACTAATTTGGCGTGGCTCCTAGTCGAAAACTTTATTGTGTAAGCAATTTTTTTGGTTATCGTTGCACTGAGCACAGATCCATGTTCACATTCAAGCCGCCTTGCATCTTATAAGCTTTTATAGCAGCTACGGCCTCGTGGTTGCGTCGATTGCAAACATTTAACACCTTCGAAATCGAGGTCCTGGACAAAGCGACGATAGATCTGTCATGAGTTAATGCTAGCTACAAGGCCTCTGAAATGGTAAGGAAATGGTGTAATAAGAAGAGTTTTCCGAACGCATGTTTCTATTCTTTACATGCAGTGGTAACCATCGCTAAGGATAACGAGATCCGGTTACACAATTAGAATAAATGTTTCAGGCCGATAGTAGTGTAAAATATTCATGTCAAACGAAAGTTATATAAATTGGATGCGCTGTTCTCATGTCTTCTCAAATGCTGTGATGAGGCTTGACAAGCCCATTTATATATTAACGTTGTGTGGTCATATCGCAGAGCCTGACTCTATGTTCTTCATTTCCGGCGACATATCCATTGTAGCGTAGCTAATCAGGTGTGTTTTCTTCCAGCTAGTGTAAGTATGAGTGTGACATCGTCCGTTCTCGTTAGTGACAGCCATCCCCTTAGTCAGACTTATCTTGACGCTCAGAAAATTTAATTTTTTGTCATTACTGTGTTTTCCAATCGAGATTCTCCAAGTAAAGCAGGTCTGGTATAAGTACTATGACCAGAGATTATTTGTTTGAATCACATTGCCTTGGACTATCACGTCAGTATATTATTCCTGGACCTGTTATAAGCTGTGGTATTACTTAAGTTGTCCGAGTTGTCTGGATAGCCCGAAGGAACTCTCCTTGTATTTAGATTTCTCTATGACGCCGCACCACATACTTCACAAGAAAATGCGTTTATCTATCAACTCGGTCCAATTTAATATTCAGCTCTTCTGAGCAAACTAAAGATACAAATGCATACATTGAGGCTAGGACTGGACGATAAATATGTTGTTGGCATGCATTTCCATCGGTGCCTCGTTTTTGATAGAAATAGTGCATGAGCAGCACTGCGTATTTTTTGTACGTACCAAAGCTGATCAAAGCTTCACGACTTCTGATTTTTTGTATCTTGTCGAGCTGCGGGATTTGGTCAAGAAGGAAAACCCCGTTGTTTGCAGAAAATGGTGCTCAATTGTCAAGAGCTGTTGTGCTTGTCACCATTGGGAAGTCTTAGAGTATGTACAGACTTTGCTCATCACCATATGTACGAAAATATCTTGCACACATGCCAAAGATATGATGTTGTAACTCTACAGCTTTGTACAATCTTGATGTACGGCTTAGTACAATCTTTATGTAAAGCACATGTAACGAATCATCAAATATCATATTGCTCAACTTACTATAAGAATATACGTGGTCGCGTTAAAGCTTGTTAGTTGTCCTACAGAGACGATGGTAGCAGTGCTTAAATATTTCAGGCCCAATAGTTGCTTGAAGGGCTCACAGCAGCAAAGATTTGTGAGATGATACGACAAACAAGTTTTTAAACTGAACGGCAGTCCAAAGCACCAAGGTACGGTGATTGTTTGTTATCAATTGTTTTACCTGAAACCGGCCAATGTGCTTATCAAGTTAGTGCCGGTCAAATGTTCTTATGCGGATAATCCTGTACGAGTACACATCAAAGTTGTATTTAAAAGCTTTGCTCATGTGCTACAATATCATAACCGGGGCAATTGCAGCAAAGGCAGAGTTCTCTAAGATGAAGCCAGGAAAGTTGGTCTTTTTCTTTTTGCACCATACTAATATCTATATGGATACTTGGCTTTGCAGGAATGTCTTGCCCTCCCAGGTAAAATACTTGCTTAAGAAGTTTAACGTCTAGCCAAAGATATCATATTATGGAATGACTAATAGAAACTGTTTCAACACGGATGTCAGAAAGCGCACGAAAGTAATAAATGTAGCTAACACAATAGAATAAAGACGCAAAGACATTTACTTCAGCCTACTTTTGTTTTTATTAAGCTCACACACTTAAAGTAAATACCAGCTCTTTGCTGACAACAACAGCAGGGCTACTATCGTTTATCTGGTGTCGATAAAAAAAAATGATTTTCCTGTGTCAGCGGTACCCGAGAATTAGAGTAGTACATGACATTGTGGATAAGGGTTGTGGTTGGCGTCAATACTGCATAATGAGAATCAGGTGATCAGTCGTGATTTTACTCGGATGCAATAAAATTATCCACTAAAATTATTGAATTGGAATGGTAGAGAGGGCAGAAAGAGATTTAATGTGACGAAAAAAACGAGACGGGGTGACTGTGGTGCTTACCTGCTTACTGGGTGTATGAGCACAATGATGGGTTTGATAAGGATGATGTGCCTTGTAATTTTATAGCCATATCGATGCACTGCTACAGGTTCGCGTACTGTGTACCCTTCGTATTCCTTTCACACTTGGTAGTAGTCAATGCTGTAAACCGACCTGTTGTCCACCGCATTCGGAATGCGCTGAATACAAGACCTTTGCCATTAAAAGGTTTTTTTGAAATCCCCAGAGAGGACCTTACGCCAGCCCTTTGTATATATGTACCTCCAGTTCGCAATCATGAAAACCTGACTTATACGGCTGTTTGTAGTAGCATGCATTCCACGGAAGGCATTTGAGGAAATGTGTGGGCCTTTTTCAAATTGAACCAAGGTGTCGACCCGTTTGTTGTGGATGAGCTGGACATGGCTTTCGATGACGCCGAGGTCAATGAACAATATTACGAAGGATAACTGGTTGGAATTTTTGATGGCCTCTACAAACTAAAAGTCTGATCACGTATTGTAAGAAGCCGCTATAATACGTGCCTACGAAAAATATTCTGCAAGTCTTGTTCTCTCAAGCAAATCTATGCTGCTCAATGATCGTTTATTTCTATCTGGCAAGAAGTAAACTTTTCTTCGACGTCAGAATAAATCATGAATAGTCCTTTTCTCCGAAAAAAGGCTGATGTTGCAAAAATCCTTCACATGGCTTTCATTCTCAGTTTTATCACTGATTAGGCTCAAGAAACATCGACGTATATTGATAGTTCCACAGTCAGATGTAGTTTTTTTGCATCTAAGTGTTAATTAAGCTCCTTCTTGCTTTCATCCATTAGCGTTTTGGAGTAATGCATCCACTTCATGTGCTGAACGTATAGTATTAGTAAGCGCTATCTACAGTATATCATTTGGTACTGTTCCAAACTGGGACAGTCGCCAGAGCGCGTGAAAGCCAGGACATAAAGCCAAAAAAAGGCAAAAATCTATCATCAAAAACACCTAATGTTAGCTAGCCGCCAGTGCTCATGCTCTCGTAGTTCATGGACGCTATCCAGCTGCCGTATAGTTAAAGCACGACACACATATTCGAAGGACAATCATTTGATGTGTTTGTTGTCCTCGCGACGTCACAAGATATGGTAGCGGTAAAAATGATTACGATTACAATGAGATTATTCATTTTAAAACGATATGGCAAGTCATTGATTCCGTTGATCGAACAGCATCTTGCCGTGGCAATGAAAAATGTATTCAGTGGGCTATAGCTTGTTCAACAAATTGATACAACCTGTTACGCTGGACATGTAGTTTATATAAAATCACATCATCACATTGTTGCTTGCTCATCTTAGCTATTTCGCTTGCAATTTGAAAGTCGAGGCAGAAAGTAGTTTCAATGTCGTTGATCGGTATCGTCTCACTTAGCTCTGGCGACTGTCCCAGTAATTGTGAAGGATGTGTAGATAAGCATTAAGGATGACAAGCAATTTGAAGTGTGGCCTTCAACAAAACGTTGCAATGATCACCGCCGTGCGGCCATTAATCCTTCACGACACATTTTTATGGCCCCAGATCATCGAAACCGCTGCAATACATAACCTTGTTCGCGGCCATAGATTTTCGACGGTAAGCATTGTTTATTATGCGCGGCAATACAGTGCAGCATTATATTCATACATATACAGTACCGTAGATTTAGTTGTGCTAAAGCGAAAATGATAAATTGCTAACCCGACAAAAATCCATTCTAGTTTTTCTACCGCCTAGCACATAATTGCGTTTGTATTATGATACCTTGCATAAACAGTTGAAGCAATAACCGTCGCTCGTCACCACCGGGACAAGACGCTAGAAAGTTGCATGCTCGGAGCGTTGCAGTTGAAGGTGCTGCTATAAGCCACGGACTATGTTCTCATAGGCCGGTCTAATAGTCAACACCGTACACTCTGACTTTTTCGACCGAGGCACGTCACCATCACGACCGCGCAGTGCTCTGCAGCGATAGCACTTATGCAAACCTCTTATCACTGCCAATACTCGCGTACCAGGGAGTCCGTCTGCTCGAGCAGTGCTCTATCCAGGCGTGCTCAGAATGACTGCTGACACGCAGCTGCTTTGAGTCTATCTCTTACAGTATGTTTTAATAATAATTAAATCATCAGTCCACGTGGCAAAATTAAGCAGCTAGAATGATCACAATTCAGCCTAAAACTACAACTGATGTCTTGCTTGCTGTCAGAGAAGCAGAATATCGGGGCAAGGAATAGTGAAAGACTTTTCAGGCGATCTACCTGAATGAAGTTATTCTTCTAAACTGCGCAAGAAGCGGCTTTTTTCTAATTGCATGTAATGTAACCTTAACCGACGAGAACATCATGGATCTTTCTCTTACTTATTAGTACCGTACCTCCCATACAACGCCTGGCTTTTGCACCTCCCCCCCCGTGCCTGCAAAGCTGCTCTCGATGCATTGCCAATGCAATGGCCGTATCGAACGCTCCTTTGCCGTCAGAAGTGCACGTGAACGTGCGTCTAGCGGCTCGTTTGCTTATGCAACCGCGGTCTGATCTTCTACAGACTGTATGTAGAAGTGTTGCTTTACTTCCATATGAAATTACGCAGAATCGGCCACCAGAACTCGTTTGATGGCTAACACGTGATTTTATAATGGCTACTGCTAGACGTAAGCTACAAGGCCTCGGTTCAAATCGCAACACGACCCTCTTGGCAATCGCACGTCAGGCACAATTCCGCGCTAACGAGTTGCGGCAGACGCGCAGTGAGATGCTCAAGTTAGCAACATTCTCCACTTAGACAAGGCAATACCAAATCAGTCTAGCAATGCCAAACCTTCATCAGAAAGTATTGCCTTGAATTCCGGGGCGATAGGGCAACCTTCGATAGAAGAGCGGGTAACCGCTGTCTCGGTGTTTTAGGGAGTGCAGTTGCCGAGGAGGTCAGTCAAAATGCCCCGTATTTCGCGATTCGAGTTTCAGCACAGTCGCCGAAATACGGCCCCAAATAGACTTTTCGCCAGCTTAGTAAGGCATCAGCTGCGCGGGTGACTATCACAAAGCGACGGTTTCTCATTGAAGCACTTTGGTCATATTGTAAAAGCATTACCAAAATATTAGCGTGGATAGTGTGCCATCTGAGCTCATAGTTTAGCTAATCTACCAAACACCTTGCTATACAATTAATCCTTCGAAGTTCAAAACTGCTCAACGTGCCTGCCCATCTTTTGTTTTGTGATATTTGCTATTCATTGAGCTAACCTTTTGCCCTGACGCATCCCCCTAAATGTGGAAGGGAACAAGTTGGAGTGGTACACTCCATGACACCTGCAAGCCTCGCGTACACCAGCCCAGCGCCGGGCCAGTACCATTCGCCATCTTGCTGGCCACACCACACCTAACCAACAGAGCACTTTAGTCGTCTAGCTCCGTTCCGCTCGGGTACGCCGCTGCTAGTCCGAAGCAAGCAAGCAAGCATCGATCAATCCGTGCAGCAGAATTATTTTCATCGTGACTGTGCAGTCAGAGGATTGATAGTGACAGGGTGCAATCATGGAAATTGCCAAGAACGTCCGTGACTTCCTTGTTGGTATGAAGGAAGCGCTTTCTCCAGAAGAGGACCAACTTTTATCAAGCTTGCAGAATCTACATGAGCAATATTTGAATATCATGGATGATTTTTCAACGCAAGTATCTGAACAAGCTCTGAGCATGAGTCCTGAAGCGCGTGTTGTGGCGCATCAGCTTCGTCTTAAGATATATCAAGACTGGCGTGCGAAGCTCATGGAGCGTGTATTTGACAACTCTAAAGACATTGCAACGGCTGAAGATGCAGAGACGCATGAGCCTGGATGTGACTGTTGTTTCTGTGAGCTCACGCTGCGATTGAGAAGCTATGAGAGTGTAACGGCTGATTACATCCAAGTGAGTACCCGGGACAGAAATCCCGAAAACGACACCGGTGAGGACTTCCAGCTGCCGGATTTTTTGACCGCTTAGAAGTCGTCGCGGGCCAGCGTCGCAAGCTAGATAGGGAGTTCTCGGCAGCGAATGCGCTAAGATCGCCCGCGTATCTCGTGTAGAACGAAAAGAAGGACTGCATTGCGAGAAGGGACCACCCCCATGCGTAGGGGAGGCTGCCGAGCAGTATATTACGTGAAAACTACTTCAACAAGAGACGCCTGCGCAGCACCGTGATCGTGGAAGTCACGGCCGCTCTCGTGAGAGCAAAAGGGCGTGTGAGGAACAATAGAGTAACGTTGCTGCGTCTTCACTCGTCACCGGAAGCGCACACATTTCAATTAAGTAGTGGTATAATCATCGTCGCCCCAATGCGCATGTTTATAAGCAAGTTTATAAGTACAAACGGCTCATTTCAATCGTTCGCTAGTATCGTGGTGCAGGCTGGTGAGGAGGAGGGAATGAGATCATAATCAACTGCTACTTGCACTCTTCCTCAGCCTCTTTACACGCACGCCAGCGTACGAGGAAACGAGCCGAGCATCGCAGAAGAGTATGCGCATGTGCAAATAATTTGCCAAGAATAGAGTGATGTTAAGACAATACAAAACCTTTGTTATTCTCTAGTAAACGATAAAATTGGTCACTCCATTGTCGTGTTTACCTTAAGAAATGTCGGGTGATGATGAACCATCACATCTGCTGTGTAACTATCTCAGTACATTCCATAATATGCTATTTACTGAATTATCCTAAAAGACATGAGTTCTAGGGACGAGAGGTACATGGACATGTATTTCACACCGTACATTCAGCGCCGTGCGCTTGAGAGCAGTCCTCGGTTACACTCGCGATTCTTTACAGGCGCGGCTTTGAACGTTCTCTGCAATTACCTTTAATCCTTGATTATGTCTTCTTGCGACACGATGCTTCAAATGCATATGTTTTTACTCAGGCTGAATCTGGCGCTACACATTGAAGCAACCTTCTGTATGCACACGCGCCTGCTTTGAAGCTAGCTGTTCCCACAAGTGCCTGAGAAAGAATTTGTTCGGCAATACTTTGTACTGGGTTACCCCTTTCCATTACATTCTTTAAACTGGTGATACATAAAATAAAGCAAGCCAGAATCTATATATTAAGATACGGCTTGACTCAAGATCTCACGAATGCTCTTCGAACACAGGAATTAGTTTTGGATTTGAAAAAGAGGTTGCTGAGTGCATATACATGGATAGTGATAGTAACATTCCATTTATTCGACAAAGCAATTGGCTGATTCCATCTAGTGCTAAGAGCAAGGGTGACATTTGTCTGAAATAAAGCGGAACGAATTGTTTTGATGAACAAACGTTTCACTATCATTAACAGCCATACCACAGCTGCAAGGCTTCTATCCGATGGTTTTGAGTTGTTGCACGTCAAAAAGCGCGCCATTTGCGTCCTTTTTCTGCGTTATCACGGACAACTACAAACTGGTCGGTCCCATGTGGACCGTCTAGCATCTTCGTACCCGAATAAGTAGGACGCTGACTATATATTACATCATTCGGGTGTATAGGGGTACACTCAATGCTTCTTTTATGCTAAAGAAGAGCGGACGGTGGAGCATAAAACATACACTCATCCAAGAAAATTGCGTGTTCGATGTCTTTTTTGTTGAAAGTATAGTAAACAAAGCAAACCGAGATCAAAAACAAAGCAATCAATTATCTTCTCTTGCTCCACAGTGAAGAACCATTTGAACATGTCAGTGTCGTCTAGTGGTTAGGACGCGAGTTTTACACAGTGAAGAACCATCATCATACATGAACGGCACCAATGTCAAAGTTCGTTTCTAGCCTTCGTTCCCTTGGAAAAATTTTCTAGCACCAGCATACGTAAGATGATGGACCTTCTCCTGCCAGCATCACGGAAGAATTAGCATTGGCTGCAACAGTACGCCTGAAATTTCAGGCTTCAATGCCATGCCAGTCACATCAGCAATTACTATATGTGGAATAGGAGCACTAGTAACTCCCAAACAAGCAAGCAAAGTCTTGTTGTCTGCCTAGCTGATTGCGATGCCGGGATTAGTGATCTTGCTAATCTTCTTCCCTACATCGACCTATCCCAAGTCGCATCACAATGCAAGCACTTAGACATCAAAATTCGTCTCACGTAGAGTTGAAGTAATAGATAAGAGAAGTCCGGTCATTTCAATTGAATGTAGTGAAAGTTGGCTGTTCGGCGAATTACAGTAGGGCACAGTACACATTCTCTGCTTTTAAGTATATATGAAGTATTTTGTGAAATCAGTAAGTTTGAGGCAGATACTTCTACTTCAATGCCTACATTGTACTGCTATTGCTTACAGCAACCATAAGTTTTGTTCGTGGCATGGCCATTCCTACCTCTTCACGAAAAACGCACCATGTGTACCAGATGTATTGATGTCTGTTGATGAAACACATATGGGAGGGTTCCTCGATCATCACTTATTGATGATTGATAGGGCAATCAGCTCTCGAGCAGAGGATCGACCAGGCGAGCAGTTGCTACACGGCTGCCTGTCACTCTGAATACTTCAATAGAACGTAACGTGAAAATGATACTTTCAAAAGCTAGACTGACATATGTAAGATCTCCGTTCAAGCCTTACACGGCTTATCGTATATGAAAATACTTGTCTGCATAAACTAGAATTCCTATAATGTCAGAGACATCGTATTGTGAGACATAAAATTCTTTTTAGCCTAAACGTATCATGATATTGTAGACTTAGCTACAAAATAGCTACGACACATGACCTATCGCTCAGAGGAGGAAGTCGTAGCATCTACAACAAATAATCAGTAAGAAATTATGATGTTCATAATCAATTACAAAGGTCACGCTCCATTCACACTCCTCTTGCGTAAATTAGACTTTGCCAGTATTATACTTATACTTATGATCTTCAGTGTCGATGGAATTTCAATGGTGCAAAAAAAGCTGGCACAGATGTCGCCCGTCTTCACTCATATCTAATTGATGATATTCCAAACAACTTTCGCGCAGAGATTTGCCACCACATAAGACGAGAGTTGATACCACTAAATTACCAGCAGACCGTTTTCTAGAGACTGAATCGCTTAAATGCTGCGTGACCAAACAACGGGAGCGTGACTGAACGCAGCTCTTGGTTTTATCTAAATTTGAATCTACTTTAACATTCCCTATGACTAGTACGATTGGCTTGCCTTGCATCTTGCGAAGAGGAGGCTCTGCGTTAACTGGCGATTACGTCCCGTATTACGATATGGACTTTTGTGAAGCTCCACAAAAGTGCTGGTGCTGATACGAACGACGAGTGCAATGGTGGCTGCCATGCACTTTGTACAGATATAGCTTCGATCGCGTTACTAAATGCACTGTTGGGTTCACATGCTTCACTCACCGGTGGAACCAAAAGTTCAAGGTGATTATACATTCAGGCTACTCTTCGTTGTAAAAGCTAGTTTAAGTTCCTACTGAATGTAAATATTATACTTTTTGATCATAAAGCTATTTTGATTGCTTGGTGTGTGGCTTATTATCTGTATATACCGCGGATATCTTCATTACGGAATTCTCAACTTCGTCGTTCTTAAGCAATATTTATCTGCCCAGGAGCAGAATCTCAG